GGTTACGAGGGAGCGACACGTTTCCCCGAGCTTTCCCGTAGTGCGGGGGCGCTGCCCGCGCAATTTCGAATTCAGATGCCGGCGGGTCCTCCCGCCGCTCTACCCTCCCAGAAACTTTCGCGCGGGCTCTATGAGTTCGACGCCGAGGCTTCAAAGACCCGAGGGTTTGGCCACTTCGTGGGGCCGATGAGGACTGTCAAGTCTCTGATGAAGGTGGCGACGCTGTGCACGAAGTTGGGTGCCACCTGGACCGCACGGAACTCAATGAATACTCGGGTCGTCTCTCGGCCAGGCAACTGCGCAGCGCGCGGAGAGATTGGAGGACTTCCCGGAGGAACAACCATTGCGTCCTCCCTCGTCGTATCCTCGACCAGCGCCACCGAAGGCCCCCAAGAAGACGCCGAAGAGGAAGAGACGCCACCTGTCGCCAGGTGCGCAAGTCAGCACGATCGGCGGCGGCGAGGAGGTGGTTCAGCCCGCGCGTACGCGGATTTCTGACCCTGTGCCTGGGAGCGAGGCGACGCTCGTTAAGGAGACCATCGTGCCATCGCCGCCCAGTCCTCGTGTGCCCGATCTCAATCTTGATGGGGCCGGGCCATCATCATCAGCAGCAGCCGGAGGAGGAAGTCGAATGGGATTTCCGGATCCCATATCCAGACCCCCCGTCCTCGCGGGGCCTCTCCGTTCCCGCCAGCCACCCTGGGGTGCCCCGGTCATTGACATTAGTAGTTCATCCGAGCCGGATGGTACATCCGACCGAGGTGGACTTCATGGTGGAGCCCGCCACCATCAGGCTCGAGGCCATCGCGCGGGTGCCGCGCCCTGATCCAGCGTGGGAGCCATATCTGACACCCCCTTTCCAAGGGTGTATTGCGGCGCAATTGGTGGGGACACTCATCTACGAGACCGGGCAGCGTCCAAATGCAATGTACCACTTCCTGGTCTTCGAGGCGCAGAGCGGCGGCCTTACACCGAAACTCATGTGGTGATGACGGGTCCAGGGCCCTGTTCGGTGCGCAAGCGGGTGGTGCGAGCGGTAGCGGATCTGGCGCCAAGTGTCCTCTCACATGTGTCGGGGGCTCTCCTTTACCCCTCATTCGTCCAACATCACTTCCATGAGGAAGATGCGTCGACGATTCCTGCGGCAATGGCCGCTTTTCTTCCACCTATTCCACCCCTCTCAATCCCGACATAGATCACTTCCTCTGATCACCCTCGTCTACCTTTCCCCTGTCCTCTCCTTCTCCTTCTCCTCTTTTTCTTCTTCTTTTCCGGATCTAAAAGCTCGCACGACGATACGCGCTGTATATAAATATGTATATATATATATATCGTCATATATATATATATCACAGTCCCTCGTTTGTTGTCCTCTTCTCCCTCTCTGCCTACGGTTTACCGGGCAGTTCTATTTGACGATATATATATATATATATATATATATTTACTTACCGATCGGGCCAGCTGACGATGAAGGGGCCGCCCGATCGAATGTATACTATGGGAGGAGGCGATGGAGGATGCAGGATGCATCCACGTCGATTAGGAAGATGATCGGGCCAAGAGGCCGCCCGATCATCCATGATATGATGGCATCAGCAGTCGGGAGACTGCTAATTTTTTGGGAACCCCTGCGTATCACAGATGTGATAAGCTCAGATCCATACCGCGAGGCTTGCCGTATCCCTAAGGAAAAATCCCGCGGAAGCCCCGAAGTACGGACGTGGATAGAAAGGGGTCTTTCTTTCTTTTTGCTTTTGTTTTCTTTTTGCTTTTGTTTTCTTTTTGAAACTGCTTTTTCATTTTGTTTGGTTAATAACTCCCGCAGGCGAACAGCGGCCGTGGTATGAAAACCAAGAAACGGGTGCGGTTGGGACTTTTTGAATTTTTGCACGCGCGCCCAAGCTCCGGTTTCTTCGCGCGTCTCGCATCCCCGTTTCTTGGTTTTTATCCTCGCGCCATCTTCCCTTCTTGCTGCGCGCGTTTTCCCCATGCAAGACTCTTCGTCTTCCCCTACGCCCAGCTTGATCCTTACCCCGTCTTCCTCCACGAAGTGATTGGCTGCATATGCTCGGATCAATATGGAAAGCGGGAAATCGCGCACCACTTGGATGAACACCCCAATCACGTAGCCATGCAATCCCGCGGATCGAACCTTTTACTCCCCACCTCTCTCTCCTGTCCTGCTCATCTACACCCTGCGCTGCCCGCACCTCGCGCTGTTAACCCGCCGCCTCCCGCGCTATAAATTTGTGCAACCCTCTCCTCTCCCTCTCTTTGATCTCGCCTGCAATGCTGCGCGAGCTATGCACGAGAGTCCGCGGCGCCGAACAGGCTCGATGAGCCCAAGGACAGGCGGAGTGACGACGTGGGGTGGACCCCGTGGTAGTCTCGGGGCGAAGCAGTCGGAGGGACTAAGCAGTGGTGGGGATTGGACGCCGGCCGCGGCAGGGCCTTGTGGCTATGGTGGTCGGTGGTCTTGGGAATTTTTGAAGGCTGCGCCTGGGGGCAGCAGTTAATTGAAATTTTTGTGTACAAGAAGGAATCGCTTTTATCTCTATTGCTGCTTTGTCTATGAATGTCGTGTGTGTGAAGCCCCGAGTGATGGGACCTGGTTATGCGCATGAGTGACGTGGAAGGTCCATGGATGATTAGATGTCCTGACAAGGGTTGTTGATTGCATGCATGTATGTGTGTATGTACTCGTCCGGGCGGGGATGGGGAAACTGAACTGGGGGACCGTCTGCTTAGGAGTA